GTCTTGTGTTTTCTCAACATATATGTCACATATCTTCTAATCTCTCTTTCACTCTCTCATTACATTTCCCTTTTTTCTCTTTCATTTTCTCCTATTAAAAAAAATTTAAAAATTAAAAAAGCCACTGATGATGAAGAAGCTAAGATACTAATATTAAGATATTCAATTCTGCTTTCTACTGAAGTGGCAAAAATAAATAAATAAAAGACAAAGTGATTCGAATCAGTTCGTTCACTGAAATGATGCATTAAAATGAACAAATCATTCGTGAACGACACAACACTAAAAGGACCAGGCTAGTTTAGCTGCAGCTGTTTTTGAGTTTGCTACAGTCGCTGCCGTGTCATCTTGAATTAGTTAAGTCTTCAAAGCTTTATTGTAGATTTATTTTTACTTTGTGAATTCAATTAAAATCAATCCACTGGTTCATATCATAATGCTAACAGATTTACTCTCAGACAACTCTCTTTTAAGCGCTAGAATTTTTTTCCCCCTGTGTGATATCAATGCGCTTCCGTACTGTTAAAACGGCATACACGGTTTTATAAAAGAAAGCTGCTGATACGTTCTGACCTTGTGGGAAGGAAGGGACGTAATGAAACAAATCCAACCCGTTTCCACACATCTGGTCGAGCATTATTTATAAAATCGGAACACGAACAATAAATACACAAGCATTATAATTTCATATTCATGCATAACTAACCTGAAATTATAGATTTGGCAGAACCCGGTCACACGAGGAAACGAGTGTGGACGCCGTCGCAGGAAATTGACGTCAAGGTCACGTGATCGGAAGCTTTTTTTTTTTTCAAAAAATCTTTATTTACAAGTTTGTATAACAAAAAGGTACCTACTCATTACATTAAGAAAGGCGCTTTATGACATGAGTAAACATAAAATTAACAGTAGAAAAAAAAGAACAAAATAAAGAACATATATTAATAACAAGGGCCAGCATACGTGATCTGCAAAGTGTTTTTTTTTTATCTAAAACTGTATTAAATGTTAAATTCTACACTTTCTACACTCGGTTAGGCAATGGGTTGTTGGTGAAATCTGAGACTTTCAACAATTTATTCATTCATAGAAATATAATTTAATACTAATACACCAGAAAACATTGTAGAATTTTTTTTCTGAAATATATTTCCTCGTGACTTTAATAGTTAAAACTACCGATTTGTCAAAACATATTTCTGATTGAAAGACATTTTTTTCTGGTTGTTTATCAAGCTGTTTGTAATTAGATTAATGAATAAATCTTAGTTATATTGAAATTCCTATTATTGGTGTATATTCACTTAAGGCATATTTGTGTTCCAGAATACTACAGCTGAAACTGGCATGAAAAAGTATAAACAACAAGCCTTTCATAATGACTAATAATTGACTGTTTATTGTTTCAAGCAAATTATATTTTAGGTTGTATTAATGGTACTAACATTGTTAATGTGCCACATTTTTTACAAAAACATAAAAAACAAGATCTTTAACATTTAATTAGTGCTTAGTTACAGACMACATTTTTGGCCAATAACAGCAATTAAATAGCTTATTGTTGCTGTCACATCCAGTCCAGGTTTCTTGTAAACATTCATATAAAAATGTCCAAATTTTTTACATCGTGTTTGTTATTAACAAGATTTTGGCAAGAAACATTTTGTCTTTAAAACAGTTTCTTTTTTTCAGCTTAAAAATATAAAGCTCAGTTACCATTCCAATACTGTGACCATTCTAATGAAAAACTTTCCATTATTTTTTAAATGTTTGGTGACACTTGGTCCTTTTCAGATGCTTTCTACTCAGCTTTCCAGATGGCAATCTTGCCATCGCGGCGTGCAGAGCCACTCAGGATGTAACGATCTTCAGCAGAGCAGAGAGTCTGGATGCTGTCTGAATGAGCCAGCAGCTCCTTTTCCACTGCGAGGCTGTTTAAATCCACCACAAACAACTGGCTTCTCAGCTGACCTCCAGTGTCGTTCTGTCCATCGCAGCCCACCCAGATCTGAGAACAGGAACGACCACAGCAGATAAGTAATAACACTCTGCAGCAGCACCAAGAGCACACAAATAAAAGTCTCACTTGGTTTTTGACTTGAATCATGCAGGTGATTCCGGACGTGTTGGGCAGGSAGATTTTTTTGGACAGATGTTTGAGGTTATTCGTCAGCCAGAGAAACAACTCTTGTGAGCCTGAACAGCCTGCCCACAACTGCTCTCGCTGCAACAAACAGGTTTAAAGGGATCCCCGATTAGTTGTAACATTAGACTTTATTTGTTAAACATTTATTTTAACTGTAAAATAAAGACTCTAAAAATACTGTAGGATGTTTTCATAATTTTTAAACTAAAGGTTAAAAAATATATTACCTGGACATGGACATCTTAATTACACACAAAGCATTCTGGGTAAATGATGACGTGGATAGGTCCTCRGTGCGAGGCTGCTAGCGAGCTATATCCACCCTGAAGGTTAATCTTGGACAATATCTGATGATCGACTCTTTTAAATGAAACCAGAGAGCGTTGACAGAGAGGAGAAGGTAGAAATGACTCAGCCTGGAACTGAAAATATGGATGGAGGACCTCAGTTTAGCTTGTTTGTCGCGCTAGCGCTGAGCTATGGTACTTCTTCCATGAAGCAGCTCTGTTGTCCTCCATCCATATTTTCAGTTCCAGGCTGAGTCATTTCTACCTTCTCCTCTCTGTCAACGCTCTCTGGTTTCATTTAAAAGAGTCGATCATCAGATATTGTCCAAGATTAACCTTCAGGGTGGATATAGCTCGCTAGCAGCCTCGCACCGAGGACATATCCATGTCATCATTTACCCAGAATGCTTTGCGTGTAAATAAAATGGCTCCGTCTGTGTTAAAATATATTTTTAAAAATTTACGAAACTAAACAGCCTACAGTATTTTTAGTCTTTATTTTACAGTTAAAATATATGTTTATAAAATAAATTCTAATGTGACAACTAATCAGGGATCCCTTTAAAGGTTAACATTTGAAGTTACACTGTACCCTGAAAACATCAAAATATGATAAATTAAATAAACTCTAACAGGCAAATTTTTATACCAACCAAAATATTATAACGAGATTTTGTTTTTTTATTGTCTTTAAAGCAAACTCTCAGCAAAGTCACCTCTGGGATGACGACGAAGCAGCTGAAGCTACGTGGTGTGCTCTGCAGGTCGCCAGGAAGTGTTATCCTCCTTTGTCGCAAACTATTCTTTTTCAGTTCCACAACAGCATCAGTACAACCTACACATTAACAAGTGCGTGTTACAAAAATGCATTTCAAACAAAATCATAGACGCTGTTTATTTGATTAAAGAGGACATATCCTGCTGAATCTACTTTTTATTTCTTCTAGTGCTTTATGAGTTATTTTGCACTAGCTAAAACATTATTGATCCTGCTTTGGTGGCAGGGGACAATAATAAAATTCAAAATAAATAATGCTTACTCACAGCCCCAMAGGGTGCTGCCACAAATCTGTATGGACAGCAGTCGGTCGCAGGTGGGGTTGAACTTCTTCTTCACTGTCAAACTGGTCAAGTCCCATTGCAGGATGGTCCCATCACAGCTGCACGAGTACATGTGCTGACTGGAAAAGAAGAGAGGAAAAATTCTGATTCAAAGTTCCCCCAGAGATTTCCCTCAACACCTTCCTGAGTCTGCTTCTCCTTTTCAGTTGGCTAACAGAGACGATGGTGTTTCCACCTGCTGCTGTGGTCTCTGGAGTCCAGCGAGAGGCCGGTCACCTCATGTTGGTGTTCAGTCAGCTGTTTGTTGCAGGACAGGCTGCGAGTGTCGATGATGTAGATGACAGAGTCCCGAGAACCCATCCACACCTGATCCTGGACCAGCCCCATCATGCAGGTCTACGCAGAGATGAGATGACAAAATATCTTTGTTTTACCCATGGAGGTTCTATAGAACAGCTGGAGTGTGCAGAAAACCATGTGACCGTGTGATCGGCTGGTGAAGCTAACGGCTAACGCTAAACGGTCAACAGTCTGGATTTCCCATTACTGTACATGTTGACAACAGAGCAGAAAAAAAAGGACTGACGACGTAGAAATCATTAAAACTATTAATAATAATATTAATCCAATTATTATTAATATTTTACAGTTTATATAATCTATCTAATGTTTTAAATAATGTCAGAAAAGCTGTTTGTGTTATGG